TCCTGTGGTCAGGCTCTCTGACTTGGTTGACACATGTCATCGTATCCAATTGCGTAGGTCGATGCTCATGCTGTTCATCAGTGGATTGTCTGGTCCAGATGTAATTATTTACAGACCACCGCCATATAGTTGCAGGGTTGTTGTGGGTTCGAATTGGTCTCTAGCAACCTATGGTGGTTGTGAGAAGAAACTCAATGAATCAAGTGATCAAGCTTGGTGACTTGACTGATGCATGTCCATGGAGTGAATTGCTGTTTTCAGTATCAATCACTGTATTGTCTGGTCCATAGTCATTTCTACAGGCCACAATCATATAGCTGGAGTATCGCTGGGTATGTTGGTGTTAATCAACACAACACAGCACAACACAGCACAACACAGCACTACACAGCACAGCACAGCACAACACAGAAAGGTAGATGATAAATCTTTTCTAGTTCATTCAGTAACTCAGTGTCAGAGTCTTGCCCAATGATGAACGATAAACGTCCTTACCACTGGATAATTAGGTAGACATAACATCATGTGATAGCCATTGGATTACTCAAACAACAACAACAACTACATTCTTTCATCCTATTCATCCATCTGAGGGAAGTATCAAATGTTGTTCACATTAATCATGACAAATGTGTTATTTCTCGCTTCTGTCACATTCAGATTCCGTCCCACTTTTCACCACTGCACATCTGGGACTGTTAAAAAATTTAGAGGCAAATCAGATGCAAAACTGTGGAGTTGTAAATGGCAGACGTAAGCCTTGAGTGTGGGATGTCATTGTTGTAAGATCATACAACAGTGGAGGGCCAAAAGGTTAAAAATTATCTTTTTGATTGCGTTTTGCACCAGCAGTGGGGGTCGTTAATAATGGCTTGTGAAATTGTGGTTATTACTTGTCAGCATGTGACAAAACTTGGATGTGTCTGACCGTAAATCTGAGCATGGCTTTGGATTTTGAGTTTGTTGTTTTGTTTGAATACTTGAGGTTTCTTCAGTAGGAACAGGGGCGTGGGGTACATGTTTCATGAAAGGTATTGTTCCCCAATATGGGAAGCCATTGAAGTATATTCTTTTGTTCATTTGAGCTGATGAGAGAAATTAATACAGTTAAACTTTAATAATAGAGAAAAAGTGTTTAGGTCAGGTAAAAACAATCATGAACAATTGCAATTTTGTGAGTCTGTGTAAATTCTCACTTTGTAGTCCCATGATCCACATTTTTGTCCTCTGATCCACATGGATTCCTCTGACTCAGCATGAAGTCCTGTGATCCACATTGCAACCTCCTGATCCACATTGATGCCCTTGGATCCACATGAAAGCCCCCAGATCCACATTGTAGTCCCGTGATGCACATTATAGTCCCTTGTTGTATATTATAGCCAGCTGATCCACTTTGTTACCACCCGATCCTCATTGTAGTCCCTGGATCAACATTAAAGCTCCTTGATCCACATTGTAGTCCCACTATCCACATTGTAGATCCATGATCCACATTGTAGTCCCACTATCCACATTGTAGACCCATGATCCACATTGTTACCACCTGATCCTCATTGTTATCATTTATAGCCACCTGATCCACAATGTTACCATTTATAGCCACCTTATCCACAACAATACCATTTGTAGCCACCTTATTCACATTGTTACCATTTATATGCCACCTGATCCACATCTTTATCATTTACAGCCACTTGATCCACATCTTTACCACCATTTTGTTCATTGATACATTGCCCATTTATAGCCACCCTTGATCCACATTGTTCCCATTTATAGCCACCTGATCCACATTGTTCCCATTTATAGCCACCTGATCCACATCTTTACTATTTATAGCCACCTGATTGACATTGATCCACATCCACATCTGTTCCCATTTATAGCCACCTGATCCACATTGTTCCCATTTATAGCCACCTGATCCACATCTTTACCATTTATTTACCACATTTATATTGCCACTTTACCCCTTTATAGCCATTTGATCCACATTGTTCTCATTTATAGCCACCTGATCTACATCTGTACCATTTAGAGCCACCTGATTCCACATTGTTCCCATTTATAGCCACCTGATCCACATATACCACTTGATCCACATTGTTCCTCATTTATAGCCACCTGATCCACATCTTTTACTATTTACCACCACTTGATCCACATTGTTCTCATTTATAGCCATATCCACATTGTTACCACCAGCCACCTGATCCACATGTTTCCCATTTATAGCCACCTGATCTACATTGTTACCTTTTATAGCCATCTGATTTATAGCCACCTGATATATCGTTTACCACATTCAGCCACCTGATCTACATCTTTACCATTTATAGCCACCTGATCCATCTTTACTATTTATAGCCACCTGATCCATATCATTACCATTTATAGCCACCTGATCCACATTGTTACCATTTATAGCCACCTGATCTACATTGTTACCTTTTATAGCCATCTGATCTACATTGTTCCCATTTATAGCCACCTGATCCATATCGTTACCATTTATAGCCACCTGATTGACATCTTCACCATTTATAGCCACCTGATCCACATCTTAACTATTTACCTCCATTTGATCCACATTGTTCTCATTTATAGCCACCTGATCCTCATTGTTACCATTTATAGCCACCTGATCCACATCTTTACTATTAACCACCACCTGATCCACATTGTTACCATTTATAGCCACCTGATCTACATTGTTACCTTTTATAGCCACCTGATCCACATTGTTATCACCTGATCCATATTGTTACTATTCATAGGCACCTTCATTCAGATTGTTACCTTGTATAGCCACCTGATCCACATTGTTACCACCCAATCCATATCAGGGCAATCTGGTCGACATTTTTGCACCTCTCCTTTCGTTCTACATATGTCGTTCAAATCTTACTGTTCCATACGATAAATTAACCACATACTTCAAATTTAAATTAGTTAAAAACTGAATGATATTATCTAGTAATTGAATGTAGATAGGATGGGCTGTTTACAGATATCAATCTGAAAACACACACAAAACAGCGCCTTGAGCATGTACTAGTTGCGTGGATATGTGCGCTATATAAATATCCTATAATAATAATAAAAAATAAATAATAAAATAATATGTGCAGTTGCAACACAAGTTACTATACAGGTCTCATTGATTCACCAGTGATGAGTTTTCCTTAACTGGTTTCCACACCCACAGATTTATAAAAAGTATGCAAACAAAGAAACTGACTAGCACTATTGTAACTGGTTTGATGGACATAGCACGCATAACACTGTATTCAGATATCTATCGGAATAAAAAGTAATTCTATTAAAATAGATAGCATTTGAAATAAAGTCTTGCACAAACTGTAAAACAGCATATGGTACACAGAAGAGTATGGTACATGTTGCTGGCGTTTAGGAGAAACAGGCCATTGAGGATGTCAGGATCAAAGTGACGACTTGTGTTAATATGATGACGAGCAAATTGGGGTAGACCTCTGCTTGTGGCTGGGGTTGCCAATATATGCTTGAGGGGGTTCCTCTATCTCAGCTTGGCAATTATGTCAAGTGGTGCAAACTCCCCCTCCAAACTGCTGACACTAGGAAATGTATGTAGTGTGCTATGTAAATGTTATCCAATGTAGTGTTTGTTATCAAAGATAACAGCTGGAGTAACTGACAAAACATGGCGCATATGAAATGTACATTAAGTCTTGTATTTGGGGAAAGTGATGCTTTGACTCTGGTACTAAGACATATGACTGTGTTTTGGTGTTCCTTTTATAGGTTTATGGTAAAAGCTTTTTTATTGTCATCTTCCACTGGAAATTAGATAATGGCTTAGCCCTAACATGTCCATGAATGTTACTTTAAGAGCAATTGACTTGTTCAAACTGCGAGGGTGAAAAGGGAATGCAAAAGGTTATGTTTTAGAAGGCATAATTATGTCCTAAACTTGATGTAGCTGATTTGGAAAACCTGCAAGTGAGTGATAGTATTTCTATAACTATATTCCAGCTTTGTATTAAGGGGTGGTAGTGTAGCCTAGTACTTAAATTTCTGTCAGTTTGTGAAGCTTATTTCCTGCATCCCCTTTAGGGGAAGGGGACTTGTTGTGAGAGGGTAGAAGGAATGGTGGTATAGAGATTGTTGTTTTGGGTAAGGGTATTATCATGCAGGTACCTGAGTGGGTGTGACACTGAAGAAATAGAGCAGACATTTTAACCAACATAAATTCATCCACATGTTTCCAAAGTGTGTGGACCCGTGAAGATCCGGGTTAGAATTGATCTTCAGTAACCAATGCTTGTTGTAAGAGGCGACTAATGGGATTGGGTGGTCAGGCTCTCTGACTTGGTTGACACATGTCATCGTATCCCAATTGTGTAGATCGATGCTCATGCTGTTGATCACTGGATTATCTGGTCCAGACTTGATTATTTACAGATGCCACCATATAGCTGGAATATTGCTGAGTGCGGCATAAAGCTAGACTCACTCACTCACTCCAAAGTGTGTGGTAGTAGGCATTTAATCTTTTATACAGTCTGTTTCAGGTAACTGCATTTAAAGTAAGAGAACACACATAAGTATTATTCTTATTTGCAGAGACAATTTAATGAGTGAGTGAGTTTAGTTTTACGCCACTTTTAGCAATATTCCAGCAATATCATGGTGGGGGACACCAGAAATGGGCTTCACATATTGTACCCATGTAGGGAATCGAACCCGGGCCTTCGAACAAGCGAACACTTTAACCACTAGGCTACCCCACAGCCCCCAATTTAATGATGTGAGGGTGAAAGTTTGGTATTGAGGTAGGATGACTATAAAATAGAATTTTTATTTTTTAGGATCTTATCATTGCTTTTCACATTTTACCTATATAATTCCAGTCTGACATTTGGATTATGAACACAAGAAACCAGGCATGTGTCAACATTTTTATTACTATGAAGGTGTGAAATAGATTTTTGAAATCCCTGTTTTTGTTATTTCAGACATGAGGAAGGCTCTGTCTCGCGATGTTGAAAAGAAGTCGGTCATACCGCTTGCCCACCCAGTTCGGCCGGAGGAGTTGGACTGACCATGACTCAGGAGGGTAACCATGGAGATCTGCTGTGGGGGACACTCTTGTTTGCGGGGCTTCTGTTAGGGGCCATCTTGGCCCTTATTGTCACAGAACTTATTGTACGACAGCCTCTTCGTTTTCCACCGTTACCGCCGACGGATGATCATGAAGAGCTGTAGCTGGTTAGATGGATAGAAACTGAAGAAGTCATAGATTTGTCGTAATAAATAACTATGTCCATGAATATACTGTGGAGCGTGTATACTTACACATTTCTTAGATTCTAATATCTAATTCCCTAAAGTTGTCCTGTACTGATTAATAAGTCTTTGTGCCTCGCATTGCTGATATAGAAGGCCTGTTGGCATCTTGGATGCCAATACAGTACCAACTGTCACGGCATCCCAACACAATTACCTTTGTGGATGGAACTGATATAGTTTTTAATGCTAACAGGTAACGCGGTAACTGCTGACAGTTAACGTGGTAACTGCTTGATCCCTGTTCATAAACCTGAAGAAAGTGGAGACAGGTTTGATTGTCAAATTTGATTGTCTGAATCATTCTGGTAAACAAAAACTATAGTTACTTTTACAATCTGAAGAAGGGATTGGGTTACAACTGAAGCTCTGTCTTTGTGAACATGTGACACAATAGCACTTCGTAGCTCACCTTTGCGACAGACATAATTAACACCTGTGAATATTCTGTATGTTTAGTTTATGTTTGCTCTCGGAATGAATTCATCAGGGACAGGCGCATATGGCTATTTACCCCTGCACATTCCGCACAGCAGCAGTGTTGCTTATATTGTCCGCAGGTATAACGTTCCGTTAACATGTGTCGACAATAAAGTAAATACCACCATATTAAACTAACACCTTCGCAAAGGAAGTCAACATTTTCTCATGTATCTAAAATTATTCTACAGTGTACGAATAAAAATAAATATGTTTTAGAGGCAGCTATCCAAACAATAATGGCGAGTGTGAGACACACCCACTCAGCTATGAATGATGTAAGTTGGGTGTTAATCTTGCAGGGTTGAGTGATGATTGACTTCCAGGGCTACATGTGCACGTCATGTGATGTCACCTATAAATAGCACGGGGGCTCTAATCTCTGTAATATTACACTAGTTTGGGCGTAATTGTTTAAAGTTTGAAATGAAGAAATCACCAGCAAATAAATGTGCTATCATCTTTGCCAGTGGATCGACGACATGAGTCACTTGTTGAATTATAAATGAAAAGATACAAGACTTAAGAAACTTTCTTGAGAGTGAAAATGGAACAAAGTCGTTGAGCCTAAAGCAGTAAAGGTCTTGTGATTGTCACACCAAAGGCCTGGGTTGAGTTCCCCACAGAGGTGCAAAGTGTTTCCAGCGTCTCCCCAGAAGCGGCCTTAGACTATACTCCCTCACTCACTCCTAATACTGTTTCACTGTTGACAATTATTGTTTATATTAGATATTAGATGGCTGTCAATGTTAACTCTGATACCTCTTGCACATACATGTATGTGAATGCTAAATATCAAAACTTTTTGAAAATCATACATCACTTTAGATGACTATTTGAGCAATAATTAATGCATTTTCTGACGATATATGTCTTTCAATTAAAAATACAGGTTCTAAAAAACTAGTTTTCACAACAGGATCTCATTAGCCGTTCCGTTTGTGAAAGTGTTCTCATGGAGAATGACAGTTTTTCTGTTTTCTCTGCCTTTTCATGGTTATGCCATGTATTTAAAAAATGTTTCATTGATAAGAGTTATTGAGTAAATAACTCTCACAGCCTCATCTGACAGATGAATCAGCCGACTCCATCTAAAATAAACATGTAGGTGCATTTATTATGATGTTTACTGTGAAAACATACAGAAGGTTGAAATATACAAGATCTGGCTTTGATGAAATTGACAGAAGTTCTGACATTAAATGTGCAGTGTGGCATACAGGTATGAGTAATGCCCAACAGGGTTGTATTTTCACAGATTTGCACAGGGTTGTATTTTCCCAGATTTGCCTCTTGCCTGGTTTGCTTTATGGAAGCTTTCAATGATGGAGGCACAAGATAACGAGCATAGTAAGGATCTATGGAGGATGCTGTGAAAAAACAATGAAGCTGTGTTTCTCTGAATCTCTGGCTTAAGCTTAGCGGCATTTAGTCCCAGAAATAAAATAATTATCCTTAGAATTATGTATCTTTAAGAAAAAAATGTAAAGTAAAACGTCCAGTACATTTCAGAATCCAGACTTGCTCAGTTATTCCTGACTCCAGTTTGGGTCTGGGAGATGTACCAAGCTGACTTGTAGCTACTTTGAATATAGGCTCAGCATTAATTGGACATTTAGTGAATGTAATATTACTAATTGGTTAATTTTTTATATATACATTTGTGTATTGTTCCGTATTTTGCTAAAAATAATCAGCATTGTGTACTTTAAGAGATTCACATTTCATTTAAATTCTGAACAACTGAAAATGTTATAGATGTTTTTTGACTGTTGAAATGAAGATGCATTTCTTTGTAAGTGAATTTTGTAATTTACAACACTGCTGAATTTTGTGAATCATGCTTCTGCTTCTTGACGTCTGATTGTTTTTGACATCTCTGGGTTGACAGGTATGTCTGTCCTTGTGACAGATTGGCTGTCAATCACCAACAATTGCACTGTTGTTTATCATGATTTGTCTCCTCTGTTAATCCCCTAAGACATTAACAAGACACTTGTATTATCAAGGCCAGGTGACTGTTGTCTTATCTGTGTGTAGTCGTGTGGAAAACAGCATCAGTCTTGCTGTTTAACCAGTGGTCTTTGTTAACAACACTAATTGAAACTACATCTGTTACTGAAATTAGTTTGGTGCAGAAATACAACATTCACTGTGTTCGCTTGACAAATGACAAATAGGATATTCACTTAAAATGTTTGCAAAATATCATTGGCATCATGAAGAACAACACAAGACTCTATGGACCACTAATCGATTACAGGGTTGATGGTTGGCTCGCATGAACTGACAATAATTACCTTCCCCTAATACTAGTGCCTTTATGGAAGACCCATGTTCGTTCCTGAACTATCCTGCAACGTCAAAATTGAAAAGTACTTCATTGTTTATTTAAAAATGGCCAGTTTTTTAATTACCATCCCTCAATATATATTTATTAATTTGTATGAACCTCCCCTCCATTCTGTCACATTTTGGGTGGCCCTTCCCCAGGCATCTGTCGCTCCCCCCATAAATGACCTTTCCCCTAATATGTGTAGATTTTGATGGAAAGCTGCTGTTTATAAGGCTCCTCTTTGAACAGTAGAACAGGTTTTGTGTTGGTTTTGGTGTTCAAAAGTCAATTTGAGCCGGTAAACTTCATGTGGAATTATTCATCAACGACCTGAAAAACATCTTGCTAAAATTAAGGCTAGTTGTTAACTTTGTTAAAAGAGACTGTGAAAATAGATTATCCTTTTAGGAGCAGCTGAGGCTGAAAGTTGCCTGGAGGAACAAAAGAAATTAAGTAAGTCTCATCTGTTTGGAAAGAGAAATGCCTTTGAACCAGTTTCCAAGGAAAATATGCTTCCTCCAAATTAGTTTCTTGTGTGAAGGATTATTTAGTTTAAAATAAAAGTCAGCTTGTTTGTTTTACAAAGTCAGCAAAAATAGAAAATACCATTGTGAAATAAAATATCATATTGTAGATTGTTTTACTGAGTGCCTCAAAATATTCTTGCATATTTGTATATTTTTATTGCCAATAAAAACAGAACAATATTTGTTCAACTTGAACCATGGGCAGCCTTCAGAAGAAAGGTCATCTATAATATGCTTCATGTAAAACAATGAATGGCATGTTAATAATAAAATACAGTAAACATGTTTAACTTGGAGTATGTTAATCCTTGAACCTTTTCAAATGTTTTGGGAAACACGAATCATGGATGTAGGCTTGTGATTAATTCTACCTTTAGACACCCTGATTAGTTTTGTGTTTATGTAATCCCAGGCAGTCATTCATTGCACAGAATAGACACAGGGCTGATAGATTTTCTAGTGACGTGTTTGCAGCTACAGTGGCCTGGTACATGACAGGAGCCTGAAATAGTGCTTGTGAATCCAACAAGCATGTTGCAGCATGTTATCAGTTAAGATGCTTCAGGTTTTTGGCAGGAATTATTGCACAACGCTAGAGAACAGATGAGAAATGTAAGAATGTAATTTCCACACGAAGTTGAGAGCCGTGTAAGAAGCCACTTTTGATTATGAGGTCTTTGAAGGATGACAGGAAGTCTGTGAATATTGCAGGTTATTATAGTACACAAGTGTAGAATGAGCCAGGGAGAAGAAGTGTTTCCTCTGTAGCACTAAGGGGAGGTGTGGGAACTGAGTGGTTAAAGTGTTTGCTCATCAGGCTGGAAACTAGGGTTCTATTCCCCTTATGGGTACAGTGTGAAGCACATTTCTCATGTTTGGTCCCCCTTGTTGTGATGTGGCTGGATTAATGTTAAAGAGATGAATAAAGCAATTTGCTGACTGTATATCACAGGAGTTGGTTTCATACCTCGCGTTTGATGAAAGTTATATTTCCTGGTATTTTTTAATCTCTCATTTTTCTGGTGAGTGAGTAATGCAATATTTCAGCAATATACAATATACAGCTATATACAGTAATATTACAGCAGAAGAGACAAGAAATGGGCTTTATACGTTGTAACCATGTTGGGAATCAAACCTGTGTCTTTGGTGTGACGAGGGCGGTGGGGTAGCCTAGTGGTTAGAGCGTTCGCTCGCGTCACACCAAAGACCCGGGTTCGATGCCCCACATGGGTACAATGTGTGAAGCTCATTTCTGGTGTCCCCCGCCATGATATTGCTGGAATATTGCTAAAACCAAACTCACTCACTCACTTTGGTGTGACGAGCAAACGCTTTAACCATTACGCTACCCTTCCGACCTCATTCTGTCATGATGAGATGTTTCGCTTGAGTGTGTCAAATGACTTGGTTTTTGGTCCTTTGTCCATCTTTAGTAACTTGCTTCATTTTACTTTACAAAAATATAAGTTGACTTTGAATTATGTAACTGGATGTGAAATTAATCAATGTTTTAATGTATATTTACCCAGTAAACAACATTTTGAAGTATTTACCATGTTTCCTATGTATATATTTGATAACACAATAGTTGGCAAGTCTATGACATCATCAGTTGTAAGAAAGCGAGTGTTATTCCACGGCAGATATTGTCTGTGTTTATGCAATTTATACACCATAGACAGGAGGGATGGGCTAGTGTTGGCGACATTTCCTATTTTATAGTGGGATGTAAGTGTGGCATTTAGAAATAAGAAAAGACATTTTATGACTTTTTTGAAAACTGCATCAGTTATGTGGACCATTGGAACTTGTATGTGACTTGTTGGATGGAAATGTACCAAGAGACTGTCTTCATTTTGGTAAAGTACTGTGTAGGAGCTTCCTCCAATATCCAGTGTATATCTGTCCATTCTATCATGATAAATTCCCTGGACCTATTCTGTTAAACATGACAGAACCAAATGACGATATACTGAAAAAAGCTGTCCAGTCAGATTACTGTCATGTGCGAGAGACATTCTGTGTCACAATGGAGACTAACAATGGAGATCGGGACTTCACTTCCAGTAGGAAGTGATGATGTGAGTCCAGGTTATTTATGATTATAGAAATGATGAAATGAATTGGCTTTACTATCCGTCTTTCATCTGGCCATGTACTGGTGGTGTTTCTCACTCCAAGACAAAGAGATATACTGCATGTGATGAGAGACAGAACAAATTTAGTGTCATTTTCTTTTTGTAATATTTTTATGCTTACCCCTGAGGTATCTCCCCAGTTTTTAACAGACTCCAAGACGTGAAAGACTTTCTTAGAACTTGAATCATGTATTGATGTTGTGCGGAATGTCTTGAGAATGTGAAATATCCATTTTTAGGTATCAATATGGACTAAATTATGTGTTGGTGAAGAGGTTACCAGATGATAAAATGAACATAGGCACATTACCAACTTTGATTGCCTAACATCAGAATTTTATGTCCTTTATCTGAACGAGTTGTGTGTGTTGATGGAGCAAGTCAAAATAGAAGCTTTCCCCACTCATGGCTTTTTAATTATGGTAAAATATTAATCTGGAATCGGTGTGTCTAACTGAATGCAATGTCCATGAAGATATGCTAAGTATGCTGCCTTACCTTCTGTGGGAGGAGCTGATGACTTTACCAGCATCAGCTTGTAGAGGTTGTCATGATGCCTCCCACAGAGTTGCAGCCGCCGATTCTCCGTTTGTTTCATCACCCGTAATTCACGGAGAGATGATCATCGCCTCTCACAACCAACTGTTATGGTCTCTACTCATATCCGCCACAGTCTCAATCTTCTATGTTTTCTTTCCTTCGTGTTTCTGTGTTTGTGAGGGTTTTTCCCAGGGGAAATATTTTTTCAGCAAACACTAGCCTGTCTCGTCTCCCTGGTGATCCTCCTGAGTTTCTGTGTCACTGAGCATGGTGCTTATGCGTTGTTGCATAAATAAATTGTGGAGTGTATGATACAAGGCTTTGTTGTTTGTGTGTTGCCGGAACTACTTTTATCAGTAGTGATCTTCATGGAAGGTTATGTTGTGATGAGATCAGTTTGCAGTTATTATGATAATCTTGTAGTCTTATGCTAAGTCACTTGAAAGTATTGTAGCTCCATGTCAAAGGGTGATGTTTAAATGTTTAGTATTTCTGGTACAAACCTGGAAATATTATCACCATAAGTTTGTGAGCAGCTTAGTCTCTGAGGAATACGCTAATGACTTTCATTATGTAACAGTAAAAGTTGATTTGTGGGGGACAGCTCTGATAATTTTTTTGTGGGTATTGTTTTACCCCAGAAATTGTGAAAGTATTTATTGGTTGAGATGTGGGAAAGTGTACTCTCATGTACTTTCATTCAGATTTTATCGTGTATTTATTGTAAACAGTGTGGCTAGAGAGCTCCAAAGATGTTATGTTAGTGAAGCAGACTTATGAGCCAAATTATTTTCACAAACCACTAAACCATATATATATGCCAGGTTATTTCCTGCGTAGCAAAATAGAACATATATACAGAGGTAAAGACATGGAGTCTACAAGGTGAAAGTTATCTCTTCGCTATATTTTCTGCTAATCTTACTTAACTGAACATGATTTTCCTCCATTCAGATAGGACAAATAACTAAATTCTATGACTTAAAGGGGTGGTGGGGTAGCCTAGTGGTTAAAGCATTTGCTCATTGCACCGAAGACCTGGGTTCAATTCCCCACATTGGTACAATGCGTGGAACCCATTAGTGGTGTCCTGTGATATTGATGGAATATTGCTAAAAGTTTCGTAAAGCCATACTTACTCACTCACTCTGACATAAAATATAGATAAAGACAACAAGCCAGACACCGATCTGTCTACATGTAAGACTTGGTAATTGCTGTTATTGCATAACAATTACGTCCTCACGGGAAAAGTGGATGGGCAAGTGTGTCTATTGCGCTGAAGTGCTCCAGTCAAAGATGACACAACACAAAAAGACAGTAATAATATATATTGAAATAAAAGTCTTGGTAACAGAGTTGCAAATTCCGACTGCACAGTCCAGGTGAAACCTAAAAACAAGCTGGCTTGTTGTCACCTCGACAGTGCAGGCAGAAAGAGCCATTGTACAGATACAATAATGAAAATACATAATAATCCGACTGATATGTAGGATGTGACGACAATACTTAATAGGGGCAACAATATTATTAAAGGACAAATAAATACAATATTGGTACAAAAGTATATGCATATATGAGCACACAATCCCAAAGAGTATTTACATAAATACCTTTAATTACATAACCCAAAAGAATCGTCACACCCCTCCTATCAGAGGATTTACATAGGCCCCACCTGAGGTGAGGTGAATGTCACATTAATATTAAGGGCCAATGGGAAGTATAAAATACATATATATACACAAAGTGGGGCAATATCTATACCCAACACATTTGGAATATATGAAACCCGGTTTGATTGATTGACAATAGCCACGACAGGACACCTGGCCTGTACGACACATGTGGCTAAAGGAAATGGGGGTATGACTGCCTGTTGGATGATCATACTAGTCAATATGAGGCTAGCTCCAACAGAATGTCGATACACCCAGTAGGTACACCACTTGGGGCTACCCAGGATAAAACACCTAATTGTAGTAAGTAAATTGACAATATGTAATAAACCCGGATATTACATAATTTACATTACTACAATTTGCAGGTATATTATTGGCCATATAATATAATACATTATATTATTATTGAATAAACTGTGACTTCACTTTCACATCAAGTGGGGAAACATACTAAAATATGATTGATATAGTTGCATGGTACCGGTAGTCAATGCTATGTTGAGATAACCATGAAGCAGACGACGGACCCTAGTTTTGTTTACATCCGGTGCAGCCATTTTGTAATGGAGCCGGACGGGAGCCGGAGAATGCCGAGGAGAGCCGAAGACAGCCCAGGCTGTGTGCTGCTCAGTGGAGAGGTCAGCACTGGTCAGTGAGCATGACCGCCACTAATTGGTTCCAGCTGATACCGTGATACTCTAACTGAGCACATGGTTTGGAAACCGGGACAGTGATACAGCCACTTTTTAATTTAGATTAAAATGGCAAAAAGAGTTCTGTTGTTAGCAGCAACAAGTTGTAAATAAATGGAATTTTGAATTTAGCAATGAGCTAGAGACAGTTTTGACTGGCTGGTCAAATAAGCCAATTAATGCTAAACACACAAAAGCACTTTTACTAAAATGAATTTGTAGATGAAAATATATTACAATGAGTACATGTCATTTATTCTTGCCATCGAGTGCACGTTTGGACAGTCACAGATGAGTGACCTTCGCCAGTTTGGCAACAGCAAGAATAATTGATGACAGTGACCCAACACTTGTTTTAATTGTAATTTATCAAATAAAAAATACATTAATTTAAAAGCCGCAGATAATTACTTATCCTGCTAACAACATCACTATGCATAGAATTTAATACAGAAGACCCAGTTGCCATATGGAAGCAAACTGGGGTTCTTACCTAAAACAAGCTGGCTTGTTGTCACCTCGACAGTGCAGGCAGAAAGAGGAAGATTTCAGGCTTGGGGGTCCCACGCTCCCTCTTGCCCCCTGTCATGTGACAACATAGCCCCTGGGGATTGGCTAAAAACTGTTGCTATGGAACCCATAGCACCAGTGCCTTGAGCCCCAGAACCCTATCAGATAACTGGTAAAGGGCAGGATATTGGGTTACTTGCAGCAAAAGACTGGGACAAAATATCCAGCCTTTACACTCTTTTAAGGAAATTTTGTAACCCGGATTGGTATTGATGAATACAAATACATGATTAAACAATGCTTCAGCTGAACAATCATTCGTAACCCTCTTGTATCACACATGTATGACC